CTTGTATTCTTGATAATTGCTATTCTGACTGGAGTGAGATAAAATCTCAGTGTAGTTTTAATTTGCATTTCTCTAATTGCTAGAGATGATGAACATTAAATAGTCTTTAAAAAATAATTTAAAATCATATCCCCTTTGACTTAGAATTCTTTGGTGGTTTTTCTCTCAGGAAAGAGAGCCTCCCTTCCCATGGAGAAGACCTTTGTTCATCTCACCTCACTTCCCTGCACACCTTACACTCTTCTCTACTTGGACCTTACCTAAGTCACCAGCCCTCCACTGATGTTGGTCTCACCCGACACGATTCTGTCTGCCTTCTCTTCTCTCTTCTCATGGTTCTATTTGTGTTTTAGGTTTCAAATTAAACACTGGCCTCTTGAAAGCCCTTCCCAAGCTCAAACCCAGCTTTGTGGTTTCTTGGCACCCTTTGTCATTTATCACATGACGTCATGGCAATTATGGCCACAGCTTTTCCTTGGCTGCAAAGCCACTCCTCTGTAGGCTGCACAGGCTGGGAGCATTTCTTACTTGGGATCCATCCCAAGCATCTCTCCATAGTTTTCTATTGAAATTCTGATGGGAGAGAAAGGCTGACCCAGCTAATCACCTGCCGGATGGAACAATTCATGCCAGACCACCCCACTGGTTGGGGACCAACCTATAGATTGGCCAACTTTGGATCAAGTGCCCATTTCTGGTCCTATTAAAGACGATCTCTCACTCAAGGACCATCCTCCAACACTTGGGGATGGAAGGAGACTTCCCTCACTTTAGGTGCTGAAGTTCCCTTAAAAAGAGCTGGTGTGACATAGCGAGAGAAATGGTGGCTTTGGAACAGGGAATTGAACTTGAGTAGCCAGTCCACCTTGTGTTATTTCCTAGCACTCACTTTTAACAGAGAGATTTGGTTGGATCAGGTTGCCCCCGTTCCATTGAGAGCACATTCAATGAGTGACGTTCACCTCCAATCTGCCTCAGAGGAGGCTGTCTGTCTGCAGCCAACGGAATGGGTTTGCTGCGGTTTGACTGGTCTCTGGTCCTTGCAGTCTCGGTGGGTTTACTTAACTGAGGAAACACACACACACAAGTAAGGCAATGGATGTAGGGAAAAGGCCCTCTTGGGATTTACTTCCTTCCCTTCAAGAGGTGGCAGCCTAAGTGGCAGGACTTGGAGTGTTCTGGAGCCTCCTGGTTCGCTCACGTATCAGATATCGCTAGAAAAGGTATCAGTGAACCTTCCAGACAACTGAGTGCATTTTGCTTTAAACAGCAAAACTCAACAACAGAACATTAAAACATCTGAGAATATTTCTAGAAAGTATTTGATAATTTTCTGCTTTCGATAACTAAAACTACTGGCATTTATTTAACTTGTAGCCTCTGTGTCTTTCCCACGAGAGTCAGTCATTGTTCTGGGCCCCCAGGGCCTAAGGAGCTGGGAAGAGCTGTGTGCTCCAGTGCTAAATGGCCTTGACTGTTGACTTTTATTAGTTTTGTGTCCAGTCTTTATAGACTGTCTCCCTCCAACGTCTCTTCTGTGCTGTCTCCTTCTGCTTAGATGTGCTTCATTCAATCTCTCCTTGACTGAGAATCCATAACAACCAAGGCTGGGAGAGGTGACCTTGAGTACTGCTCTTGTCCCCGAGAGTTAGAACTTCTGGCTTAGAGACATTTCCTCTGGACTTCTTCACCTACTTTCACATTGTGTCTTAGGTCCTGGGCCAGTCCCATGTGACCTACGAGATGGTACTTTGAAATCCTGAAATTCAAAGAGTCAACTCCTAGACTTGAAAGGATCTCCTATGGTCACCTGGTTTCACCTCCCGTCACGTATTTTAGGTTCTCTCCAAAACATGCTCTGAGACTAGCTGAGTATTCAGATTCTTTATCTTGGCTTGTTTCCTTATCTGTTAAAGGGAATTCCTTCCAGATGAACATTGTAGGTTTTGAGGCAATTATTCTAGGGATGATAACGCTTGCAAATAAAATAATCATACCTTCTCGTCTGAGGGTCATTGACTAAACCAGGTCGTCCTCCTTCAGGTGAAAGGTGTGACTTTGGACAGAGATGCTACTGTGCTGACAGGGTCCTTATCTGGGAAGAATGGACCAACGGTGCGGGAAAGAGTCAGGGAGTCACTGTGGGGTTGCTGGGCCAGAGTGAAGGGCCCAGGAACGAAGGAAGCCCAGGAGTAGAATTGTCACAGGCTGACCCCAGAAAATGGAGGCGCCTACCTCACAACCTTCACTACCGCCCCTTTCTCCTCAGTTCCCTTTCTCATCCCAGGATCAACCAGAGCCAGTCGGTCATTGGTGTGGGCTTTAGTGCCTGAGCAAGCAAGGCCCCCTCCACTAGGCTTGGCCACAGTGTCTTGGAGAGGTTCCCATCTGTGAAGAGGAAGGCTTGGGAGAGAACCTGACTCTGTTATCCAAAGTCTGATAACAGGACAGGACTGAAGTCATATTTCACAGAACCCAAGGGAACGAGGGTGGGGACATGGATTGTTACAAATAATGAGGAAAATTTTGGAGACCCCAGCAGATACTTACCAGCTGTATCTTCAAAGAAGAATTAATCTTGGTCTTCCCCAATTTTCCTCTGTCCGGCCTTGCAAGCTTAAAAGAGGCCATATATCTTCTCTGCAATATATCCTCAGGATAGTAGATGAGGAGAATTAAGACCAAACAGCTCCAGTGGAATCAGATGTGTAGTCCCAGCATAGTAAGTCGGGGACTTAGAGGGCCTTGAAGATTGGCTGGTTTGGAACAAGCTGCCTCATGCATTCCAACTGTGACCTCACAGGTAACAGTGTCTTTCTGAGCACTTCTAGTCAGATGATGGATTCAGAATGTCCCAAGTAGTTCTAGCCAGTCTTGGACAGTTCTAGTTGTTAGAGATTCTGACAAATCTGGTTTCCTGTTGCTTTCCTGTATATGGATTCTGGCTTTGTCTCAGAATAACTCCAATCCTTCTTCACATACAGACCTAAAATTTTGGGATAACTTTTATGATCTTTTCAAAGCTAACAATTCAAACTTGTCGATTTTTGTTTTATTTAATTGGTTCCAGACCTCTTAACTTGCTAGCCATTCTTGTCCAGATAAATTTCAATTTATTGCTACCTCCCCACATGGTACCCAGCATGGTCTAATCGGCACCAGGGAGAAGAAGATCCGTTCCCTCGTGATAGACTCATGTCTCTCATGGCAGAGTGTATGAACTCATCGGATTTGGGTTCATGATCAGCTAAACACGAGTTCTTGCTCTTCCAGTGTCTGCATTACTGGCCTTTGAACCCATCCAGCTTTGTCATCTTAGTCACAGTGTTAAGGGGCTGAGACCCTTAGATGACATCAGAGATCAAGGAGAGCCTGCGGGATAGAGGGCAGTGTGTCTTCTCACAGCAAAGAAGATGGTTCCTGAGGATGGACGCTCTCTTTGGGCCCATCACAAGGCAAATTGCAAGAAAGGCCCAAGAAAGCTTCTTCTCCAGGAAGGGGAACAAAATGCTGGGGGCTATACTGTGGTTTGAGATTTGGAAATTTCTCTCTGGCTGCCAGGGTGTGAAGAAAATGGACCAAGGAGTCATCCTGGGGGTCAGTCCTTCAAGAGCCAAGGGATAATGTAAGAGGTACATGTTATATTGACCACAAAGCAGAACAGGTCAAGAAGGGACCAGAAGGCAACTTGTTGCTGGTGGTCTGGTCGTGGAAATGGAGGGAGCTGGGTCTTTAACCCCCCCCCAGGGAAGCCTTTCCTGGCTTCTCCATCTGCTCTTTCCAGTTGTGGAGGGGAGTGTATCCATGTGGACTAGGGCAGGTCCTCGTGTTGCAGATTTATGTGTTGGCCCGTTGTCTCAGACTGCCTGAGCAGATCTGGGATCTGAAATCTGTTATCTATCCCTCCTAGTTCCCTGTCATCTGCTGATTTAATAAACACGCCATCGTCGTCCTCATCTAAGTCCCAGCAAATGTTTAGCAGAAGAGGCCAAGGACTGATAGTTCTATGGCACGAGAGAAAACCCTCCCTCAGGTTGACAGTCACCTATTAATCATGACTCTGAGGTTAGCCATCCAAGCACTTGTTAGCCATCTGAGGATGTCACCACTTAGCTCACTTTTCTAAATTTTGTGCAGAAGAATCTAATGTGGGACTCTCAGATGACTTGCTGATACATAGTTTATTGCATGTCTTATAATTCTCTGTGCCAAAATCAGAACGGAGGTTAGACTGGTGTGAATTTATTATCTTAGGGAACCCATCTGGACTCTTGGTGAAGATGGCGTCCTTTTAAACTATGTCTACAAAGCTTTCCCATAAAGCCCCCTTAGACATTGGTCAAGAGATCATCATTCATCTCGCTGATCTTTCATTTATAGAATGTTTTTCTACCCTTTCTTGGAAATTGGGAAATGTTTAATTAATCCTCCTCAGCCCACTGAGGCCTCTTCTCTCTCGTTGTTGGGAAAGCCTCCACAGCGATTCAGCCTTTGTCGTTTCTAAAGACCCTCATGGTATGATTTGTTTAGACCTGGAGACTTGACCTCATTGAGAGTCATGGAAATTAATTTAGGCTTTTCTCTTAGGACGTTTGTGTTATCTTTTCTAGCATGAAGCCCCATCAGTCGCCTTAAGATAAGAGAGGAGGAGGAAAATAAACTGGAACCAACTAGCTCCACTTCCATGGTCAATTAATATTCAACCTTGGCCCTCGGCACTTCTTTATGGTTGCCCTTGGTACGCTTTTAAAAGCCATCCCTCTTTAAAAAAAGAAAAGAAAGGAAAAGGCTGGGGATGCAGCTCAGTGCTAGAGTGGCCTGGGATTCAGTCCTCAGTGCCAGAAAACAAAAACAAAAGACAAAAGACAAAAATCATGGTTATCATTGGTGCTTTTCTGGACTAAAACCCAGAAAATAGCTTATGCAGTTTTTACAGGTGTCTGATATGATGTGAGTTTTTACTTTCTTTTAATGTCTGGAATTGTTGGAATTTATTCCAGAACCACCTCATCACCGGGAGACATACCTCTATTTAGCTCCTGATTTTGGAAAGCAGAATGTGCCACCCTCTGTGGAGAAGAAAGAGCCCTCCTGCAACTTGCTCAGGCCGCGGTGAGTGGGCCTCCATTCTTTAACAGAATCACATAAGCCCAGCGGCCACTCCGCTGCCCAACACAGTCCTGCAGGGCACTCTGTGTCAGGAAGGCCTGAAACTGTCTAAGAAGGAGACCCTTCCTTTCTCCTGTTTTTGGCATTTTTCTTCTTAAAATCCCGACATTCAGGATTTGCGAGCCCTTAACCTCCTTGTCTTCCTCTTCACCTCATCCCCTCTCTCCTGCCTCAGAGCCTCGTGTTCTTTGGTAGGAGTTTCTCCTGTTCTCTGTGCGCACTGCCCTGGTGATAGCCATCAGCTGCATGTGGCCATTTAAATTTAAACAATTAATATAGAATAGAATGAAAGATCCAGGTCCTCAGGCCCGCTAGTGGCCTTTCAAGTGCTCAGTGGCCCCGTGGTTAGGGGCTCCCATGGGGACATGGCGGATACTGAGCATTTGCATTGGTGTGGCGAGTTCTGTGGGATGGCACTGGTCTAGATGGTCCCCAAGTCCCTGAAGCTCCTCTGCAGGAGGAAGGATGGACTCCTTTGGCACAGAGTTGGCCCTTTCTGACAGTCCTGGCAGGCCATTGTCTTTTGTGCCTCTGACACTTGTCCCTTTGGCTTCATTGCTGAGGGTTCCTGAGGCTGTCACTTTTAAGACATTCCACGTGTTTGGTCTAGGCACTCCTTGGTCGGGTTCCTTTGCTACCCCAAGGAACCACAGATCCTACTGGGGGGCTCGTACTGACTGTTCCTATCTGAATGTTGACCCTTGCAACATGCTGCTTGAAGAAATTAGTGAAGAGAGATCTCTTAGCCCAGGAAAAGCTCTCAAAATATCAAAAAAGAGAGTGATGGAGTTAGAGAGGGAGATTCCACACACCTATGAATTTCTCTTGCTGCATTTTTATTTCCCTACTTCCATGTCAGAGAAAGACTTAGAGGTGGGCAGGAATGCAGTTCCCAAAAGGAGGAGGAGGAAGGAAGGAAGAAGATGAGAAAGAAGATGGAAAAGGGATCTTATCAGAGGGACTCCAGCATTTCCAACCCAGGAAGGACTGTGGAGTCCGTTTGGCCTCAGTCCTTCGCATCACCGATGACATACGACATACCACCATTTCATCTGGCATTTAATACAAATCTTCTGGGGGAAAAAAGAAGAATGAAGAAACTGAAGTCGCATTTAGGTTAAGCAGGTTTTCTAAGGTTACAAAGTCAAGGCCAGGACTAGAAGCCACCCACCTATCCAGGAGTCCCTGCGGGTGCTTCTCTGGCTTCCAGGGTGGCTGAGGAGGAGGGAGAAGGGAGAGGGGGCAAGGGAGGGAGGAGGAGAGTAAAACTGTGCAGTCGCCTCCCCTGTGGGAGAAGAATGAGCAGAATTGAGCAGAAGAATGACTGCGGAGGCTTCAGGACTCAGTGGGCACCACATGGTCTTCCCCATCTCCACTCAAGCTCCCCTGGGCAGGAGAGGGAGCTGCTACCCGCCGCCAAGCAACCTGCGCTAACTCGCCCCAACAGGCTGCATTCCCCGCAGTGACCATGTGGCCCTCGTGAGCTTGGTCCACATCCAAACTGCTTTCTGAAACATCTTGACATTCCTAAGATTTCAGCCACCCTGTATATAAAAACATGTCGACTCAGACTTTGACAAGGATCTTAAACAGAACTCTTAAGCGACTGTGGCCCCCCGCTGGGTCCTAGACAGCCAACAACCTGAGCAGGTTTTTTGAAAACGTTTCACATTCCCTTTTCTTCTAGAAAGCTCTCCAGGTCAAGCACTTTGGCATTGGAGTGTGGAGCTGGAGGTCACCCAGGTCTGATGTCAAATGCCAGCGGCTGCTGCGTTCCAGCAGGGAGGGTGCTCATCCCCCTGGGTGCAGTTTAGAGAGCTACAGCAACACATGAGGAGGAGGTCATTGTTACGGGGACCACGGTGCCTGGGGGACACCTCGTGATCCATGCGTGCCGATCACATGTGGCTCTGAGTGACTCCTCTGGATCTGAATCCTAACGCCCTCACTTTCTAGCTGTGTGATCTCCAGGCAAGTTACTAGATTTCTTCATATCTTAGTTTTCTTATCTGCAACATGGGGATACTAACGGGGACTACCATTAAAGACGCGAGGACAAATTGAGATAATGCACGTACAGTGCTGAACACGGGACCGGCAGCTGATAAACATTAGCTTTCGTTATTATTTCCTAATGTAGTGTGACTTCTTTACGTATGCCTCCGTGTCCTTGGGGGCACCAAGCAAGCTGGCTTAAAGTCCTTGATCAAAACGTCCGCCTAGGGCAGGCAGTATTGGCACCATATTTGCGATAAATGTCCTCACTCCAGCACAGCCTCGGCCGGGCCAAGCGAGGCGAGCATCGGGTTTTATGGGTCTGACTGAAGATGTTTGAAATATCGTAGGAGACTGTCAAAGAATACTTATACCCACTCGGAAAGAGGGCCGTTCTTAATTTTCATCTTTCCTGCAAGTCAGAAAGATATATACTCTCCAAATAATGGCAGTTTCCTCGTCCTGAAGTTATGGCAGCTTGGTGATACAATAAACAGCACCCTGTCAGAAGGACCGCATAAAACATGGCCTGACATTTCTTTAAAAGTAAAAAGAAACACGACTGTGGCAGATGACCTTTCCTCCGAGGGCACAGCTGTTTTGTGTGGTTGGAGGGACCCGTGGTTTCATACTTAGGGGCTACGATATACGACTGGCTTTTCACAAAGTGTTTCCATGAGAAATTACAGTAGGTTCCAAAGGGGAGCGCCGGTTCCTCTGTGTGCACACGCACAGGGCGGGCAGAATCGGTGGCCTCTTGATGTTTTCCAAATGACACCATGGTGGATACTCAGGGTTGGAACATTCTCGGTTGTGTGAAGGGTGAGTGGTCTCAGGACTCCCGAGCGGTCTCCCACTTGCTGGGGGAGTTTAATTATGCACCTCCTGTCAGATTGGTGGGTGAGCGCCCTGGAGGACCCCTGTGCTTACGAGGGGCCGCTCCCAATGCAGTGCTTCTGTGCATCAGGGCTGGAAGTTTCTGGGGAAAATGTGACAGAGTCACTTTGTTTGAGACGGTGGGTGGTTTTCACTTTATCTAAAGCTGTTTACTTCCCTTCTCAGTGCAATTTGTGCAATACGTTAAAGTGTTTGTGAAAATGTATTCAGCCTAAAGAAGAGAATCTCTGATTATGTAGAGATATTTGCTTTTTTTGAATATTGGCTGCAAATATTCAAATGTTGACCATCTGAATATTTTTGATATTCGCTGAGTATTTGTTGGCTCTCCAAATCATCTTTAACAGGTATTTGTGTACTTCATAATGAAATTAAAAAGGACTGTGACATCTCTGTTTAATTTTTTGATCGAGTTCCCCTGGACATCAAGGGTAACGGAAAACATTCCCATTAAGGCCCTGTACCCCTCCCTGCAACCGCTGTCCTCTAAATTAGAATAATAAGCCCTTTGAGAGGGGGGTTTGGCAGCTTCTCCACAGGATGGGGTGGAGTGTGCGCCAATTACTGAGGGGCGGCCGTAGTGCCCGTGTAGAAGCGTGCTCTTTTTGCTCAGGTCCAAGCCCGGCTGCTGACCTTCCAACAACTGGGCATGGAGTGCACGTCCCAGCATGGTGGGGTTTGCCCTAATTTATCTATGGTCTCTCACCTTGTCCCCTGGGCGACCAAAGCTGGGCATATGCAGAATGGCTGGCTTGGTTTAGAAGTACGAGCTGTGGCCTGAAACAGTTGACTTATTGGTAATTAGACCACACTGGTATTGAACCCCTGACCTCAGCCTCATTAGAGCTGCATTCGGGCCAACTGAGTTGACCAGAAACAGATTCAGAACAGTGAGTGATAGAGAGGTCTTGGCGTAGGGTCAAAGGCCTATTTACACTTCGCCATGGTGTAAGTGGATTCTTACTCTCCCATGTTAAAGGAGCAGCAGCAGATGACGTGGCCTGATGGTTAGGGCACTCCCCCTGCTGCCCATACTCGCACGGACTGTGCTGGGCAGCTCCCACTGTCCTTGCCCAGGATCTCCCTGTAGCACAAGGGTTAATCAAAGGAGAGGCAAGGTTCTCCCAGGAATTCCCCTCCCCCCAGTGGCTAATGGCTAATAGTAACAAAAACACCAGGATTAAAGTCCATTGCTTGAGAAAGAGTTCCTTTGAAATGACACTCTTTGATTTAAAAATATCCAAATCTGCAGCGAAGCCCATGGTCAATCATTACTTTGACCCTTTGCTTTTAAGGAGATCTAAAAACCGGTGACAGGTTCTCATTCTACGTAGAAAGGAGATGGCTTTCCCAGGGGACAGGGGGATACACGGAGAGGCAGGAGGCAGAATGGAGGGTTCTGTGTGCCCATCCAGGAGGCTGACTTAAAATAGGGCCCAATTCCCCGGACGGTGACACTAGCCCTGCAAGTCACTGGAAAGAAAAGACGTTCAACAAAGGGAGATTTCTGCTTCAGACCATGCCCAAAGCCCAGATTGGAATGGGAAACTAAAAGTACATTTCTAAAGGATGATTTATTTTTAACAATCTAGGAAAACCTCTGTGGGTGTGCATGAAAGTACAAAAACCATAAAGAAAAAGACGGAGTGATTTGAATCCCTAAAAATTGATCATGAAAATTTAAGTATATATCAAATACTAAATGACATTAAAAGGCAAACTGGGGGGCAGTATTTTTGGTGACAGTGGAAGAGTTAACCCCAAGATGTTAATAAATACATAGGGAAGAGTTCATCAGAGGCATTTAGGGTTCCACAAGAAAATGATGAACTTAATAGAAAAATATCAAGTTACATAAGAAGAAACTAAATGGCCTATAAATACATGAAATATTATTTAAGGTCCCTGTTAAATGTTAAATATTGCACATTTTAAACAACTGAAAGTTAATCTTTCTTCCAAAAAATTGGCAAAGATGAAAATAAAATACTGGCAGCGTTACAGGGAAATTAGCATTTTTATTCTGCTTGTGGTTGTGTGAGTTGCCGTGA